ATATATATATATATATATATATATATATATATATATATATATATATTATTCCATCACCTTATTTGCTATCTCATACATGAAATTTCTTTCCGACTTTCATCTAATGTTGCTAATCACGCTTAAAAATATGGAAGAAGATCTTTGTGTGTGATTCTTGGAGAGAAAGAACCTTATTTATTTGAATTTTCAATTTTATATGTGCTTGACTAGTTTTGGTAAGTGTATAATTAATGGCTAGAGGTTGATAATTTTGGGACTTATTTGAGATATTTCTGTAAGATTTCCTATTTTTATTTCTATAACATCTATATCAATAAAATAAATAATGAACTAAAATATTGATTAAAGGAAGCATTAGCAATTCTTTACCTATGAAATGTGTAATTTCAATTTGGTTTGCATACTACTAACGTATGCTGTTTGGATGGTTGTTACTATTGTATTGTATTGTTATTATAAATACAATGTTTATTTGATTGTTACTTTAATTTTATTGTATCATATTGTTAAATCCATTGTTACGTAAAGACGAAAAGTGTCATATTATGTAATGACAGATTTAGTATGGTGGTGTTACCTTGCTTTTTTCTCTCATCTTGCCCTTCCTCATTATTAAATAATCATATTTTATCATTTACATTACCTTTATATATAATAATTTTACTATGTATTGTATTTCTTTTTGAAAATGTTGCAAGTTTATTCTTCGTACTGTTGGTGCATGACATCATCAAACGACGGCAAATGATACGATCTATCCAAACGTTGTATTCATCAAATAATACAAAACAATATATTATGAAACGACATGTCACAACCATCCAAATAAGCTGGGAAAGGAAACTTTAGAACACAGAAGTTACATAGTTGGCCGCTCGGCCAAATATATTAAATATTAATAGTCGTTATATACTAATTATGCACCGCTACACACATATGTACTTATATTATATATCTACGGGCTACTTTTCTGTTGGAGGGTAATTTATGTTAATTTTTTGTTGCCTAGATCTGTGTTGGTCTTATAACTGAGTCCATATTGCTTGGCCTGATACAGAGCTCACCCTAGACAACAAAGCCTGTATTTGAACCGTTAAATGCAAAAGAGAGTGCAGCAATATAGTACTTACCCTATTTGTTATCTTGTTTCAACCACAAAAAGAAAGAAAAACAATGGGAATGAAATGACAGAACAACGAACTCTACATAGTCATCTGAAACATTACTATCACATTAACTCAGAGAAGAAAGGCCTTAATACATATTCAAAGGAGAACACGAAAGAAAGTACATGTTTCTTCCACTTGTATTAGAAATACTGAAAGAATGATAAAAAAAAATGGCTTCAGCTTATTCATAAAACTCCAATAACCTAATGTAATGTTTCTTATCTATACTATCCTTTCTGCTCCCCTCCTTTTATTTTAATTTTAGTGATTTTCCATAGTTTTCGTAAGAGATTCCAAGAACTCTTTGACCTGCATATGATTTTGATTGGAGACTTTAGATTTCACATCAAGAAATTACTTTACATTTTATTGACATCAAGAACAAAAATGTCATATTCTCACCTCTGAGGTATCCCTGAGAGAGAAGATAGCATTACTCTCTTTTGGGATAGCCGAAACAAGAATCCCATAACCTTGATATCTTCCCCTCAAAACCTGGATTTAAAATACTCTTTAATGTCAGAAGAAATGGTAATGCTACTAGTATTGACATGAGATTCTGTTGTATACTATTAATTACCTTGAATGCATCTTCGTCTGTTCTATCATCTCCAATATAGATAGGGAGCACATTATGACTATTTCGAAAACCTGCATGGTTGTGCATATATTTGATAAACATGGACAGAACAATCCATTCTAAAATTTCTTGACTTCACCACTTTTATGTGCTCTAAACCAACACTCACATACCTTGTGATTCAAGCAGAAACTCAACTGCTTTTCCTTTGTCCCAGTCTATTACAGGACGGACCTCTAAAACCTATTGAAAAACAAAAAAGAAGCAATATTTCAACAAATTGCAATTATGTATGTAATCATGTTACTAAAATCAAGTAACTGAGAAACCTTCCGGCCATGAGTTTGTCGTAGTCGAGGGTATTCTTTCAAGACGTCATGGACGCATTGTGCAACGACTGGCCAACTCTGCTTTTAAAATGAAAACCATCATCATAAGTTGGCTGCAGAATAATTCACAAAGGTAATTAACCTCAGAATTCACAGACATTATGAAACAGCAAGGAATGAGGCTCACATTCTCATCTACATTACGGTAATGTACAGAGGCACAAAACTTGTGGTTCTCAACTTTTGTACCTTTTACTTCTTTTGTTTTATCGACAAGGGTTCTAAATACCTGCAAAATAATCGAGCTCATCCAATTCAAGTCTATAAATCTTTTTTTTTTTTTTCATTTGGTGCCAATCACTACTTATTTGCAAGGCTTAAAGAAACAAGTAAACCACCTCGTCAATCATAGGCAAAAATTCACGAGCAGGCTGGAATAGATTAACTTCCTTGCCCTGCTTGAGACGTAAATTAGAACTAGTTATAAGTACGGTAAAAATGAATAAAAATGACAAAATGTCAATTATACTAGGCAATGGAAGAAGGTGACAACTCTCATAAATTAAATTGTAATACCTGCTGGTCAGTATATTTAATAAGTGAACCATAACTGCACACCTCATTTTTAATTGGAAGCATGATATCCATACCATGGCTACCAGCATAATAGAGTTCAGTTAATCCTACCAACTGATAAACCTGAAACAGGATTGACATAAGTCACATTGCTGAAAGCGAAAAGATAGGTTCAGAAAGTAGATGGGGTAAACAACTAACAATACATGAATTACTGGTTAATGTAAGAATTTTACCTTATCACGGCTTCTTCCACTGATGATGGCTGTTGGGAAATACTTGGCAACATCCCTGACAGCTGAACGCATCTGCAGAATGTGTAATTTCTTTTCATTAATGCGTGAACATCTGCAGTTAAGCTTCTCTCTTGCAAGAAGGAAATACTTACATCAGCGGAGATAAAAGCTCGGTCAGGGTCATCAACAATAGGAGAAAGAGTCCCGTCATAGTCTAAGAAGATAACAATCTGTTTATTCTTTGCATGGCTAACAATTTGCTGAAAGGAGTTAAGAGCTGATGGATACTTGAACTGCAAACAAACAACAGGAAAAGAGACGGTTGATTATAAGGTATTTGACATTCACTCCGCCTAGGCAGATAGACAAGTGTGCAAGATTTAGAAAAACAATAAAATGTCTTAACACACCATCCAAGAGCAGTAAACAATATCAGCATCATCTGAGAAATCCTGGATGTCTACTTCCTTTTGAACCTTCTTACTAGGAGGCGAAGAAGACTTCATTGCATCAAGCCAACCATTAGAACGAACATCATCAAGCTTCCCTGGCTTTTTTCTCGGAATCATTAGCACGCTAGTGGAGATTGAAGGCCCCGATTGTGAATAAGGCAATAAATTTGAACAGATCCGAAATGTAGACTTGTTTATCAGTGAAGGATCCGTAAGAACAGGAGAAGCATTCGCTGAATTTAAGTCCATTATATGTCTCAGAATTTACTGATTTTTATTTCGCTATGTAGAAGACCACTGAATATTAGTAGGTGTATGGAGTACCTAATCTTTCTATCCCACCCTTTTGTCAGCGAAAAACCACCTCTTTAATTTTTTCTTCTCGCTGCTGCTGGATATGCTGTCCATCAAGCTTAGGCTTCCTGAAATCTGGTCAATCACAAATTTTCATGCGCCAAGATTCTCAAAATAGTGGTGTCATTGAGCCAATTATATAAATCCATCAGCGCAAGTACCTCATTTCCAGGGCCGCAACATTTTTGGTTCAGAATTTGATATTAGTCATAGGCCTCTGTGTTTTCCTACCAGGAGGGAAGAAAACAACCTATACATGTCATGGTTTTACCTTAAATCTGGAAACCCATTGGAGGATAAAGTATTGACTAAACAAAGTTATAGTAACACTCAACATGGAGCATATAAACAAAAAGGAATCTTGTACTATTAGCAAAGGAATAATGTAAGTAATATCAATAGAGGAAAAGTATTGCGCCACAATCCTTACGTCAATATGGAAGCAAGATTAATTTCAGCGCTCTATTTTGGAAGGCATTTTGTTGGTTGGCTTCAAAACCATTAGAAAATGGAAGAAAATAGAAGACCAGAACAAAAAACCAGAGATAAGATTTAACTCTGCACAACTATTTAAATCCATATCCTACGGGATGTATACTGTCTTACTGTGATGCTGTTTTTACAAAGGGTGTGAAAGATTCCATTTCTATCAGAACGGTAGTTGCGGCTATTATATCAGGTAGATATAAATTTCTTTCTCACCAATTGACCAGTTTTATTGGTTAATCTGTTGTTATAGGTGGACCTTCTAATGGTAAAAGGATCATTCTACGAGATTGATCTTACACTGAAAAGTGGCAGAAGCCTAATAATCAGGATTTCTCTTGGACAATTATCTCTATAAATTTTCATAAAAATAGATTGGTCTTTCAGGATTTTGAACCAAACGGCAAAGAGTATAAATAACCATTAGGATTTTGAACCAAACTCTCTACAGCTTTATTTACACCAATTCAGCCACGAAAATCAGGAGAAGCTGATAAATTTAAGCATGGCTCATAAGAATCCCTGACCAAAAACAATAAATAAAAATGAATGAGAAAAATACCTGGGCTAGATATGAAACTATAAAACCGTTAGTATTTAACTGTAAAGATTGTTGTCACATAATCAAAGATTTCAACATCTTGCAACAACCAACAGAATTAAATAACTTAAATCATATAACAATGAATTCAAGGATTATGTGCTGTCAAATTACTATTAGCCGATAAAACATAGTACTATATGGTTAATGATCGTACAAAAGACAGAAATTTAATCGGTCAAATTAAATAAGCTACGCAGAAACGTACGACACCATCGTTAATTAAAGGTACGAAAGATGCAAGAATTTCCGAAAAGGGAAAATTACGAGGTTCCAAATGAAGATACTTATGGGGAAATCTAATAGAAAGGCATGAGAAAAGGTCACTTGAATTAAGAAAGAAAAGAAACATTGTAGCTACACGACATCAAATTAAATACCTGGTTGAAACTAAGAGCTCAAAAAAATGTGAATGTCCAAACCCTGAATCCAGAAAAACCAATGTAGATTATCTAATTAGAAGGCCAAGGAGAATTATTAGAAACCAAAATCATGAACTAAAAGAAGAAACAAAAGCATGCAAATTTTAAGAATAAAATGAAAATGAAGAAAAAAATTGTTCCTTATGGGAAATGAAAGAAGAAGATGGAAGAAGGGAAAGAGAAAGAAATGAATTGTACAAAGAAATGAGAAAACCTTAAGAATGGAGTATAGATGGAAAATTAAGAAGGAAATTAAGGAGAGGGAGAGAAAAAATGAAAGGAAATTAATTAGGAAGAGAAGTAATTGGAGGTGGGAAAAGGCCAAGTACTTATAGAGTTTAAATAGGCCCNAGGTATAATATAATGTTTAGACATGCACGGCCTATAAAAAGATTCAATTCTTAAATGCCTAACAGTTCCTCCTTTTACTCAGACTTCTTAAACCTCCGATATAATAAAATCATACAATCCAAGTGTGTGGTATGTTGATCAATAAACTCGGATAATTTCGGAAGATCGATACAAAATAAATAATTTCTTCTCATCTATCCAATTTTATTGATGAACAAAACTATCTCATATTTGCCTTTTATTAAGCTAGCTTATTTGGTCCGAATGTTTTTTGGCACTAAGGTTAGCATTTTTTATTTGTTCCTATTTGTTATGGTAGGAAGTGATGTAAACTAAGAGTCCATCAAACTGTATAGGGAAGCTGATTCTCTATCAGTTTCCACAGAACACACAACAATAAGTAAATAATACAATAATATTTACGTGAAAAACTTCCAGCTCACGAGGTTAAAAACCACAACCTACACTCGTTTGATTTCAACTTCACTAACTGAGCAACTTTAGATTACAACCTATTGTAACCTAGGAATTAAATTCTTAATTCCTCACCTACTTACAATAATTATATTGCAAGCCTCTTTGTAATAACTCTATTACAAAGCTAACTACGTTGACTAACTCTAGTCAACACAATTAACACAAGGTTTATGGTTTACAAAGTGTCCTACGAGATGCTTCTAAATAAGCTGAGTAGGAGTTATAAGTGAATAACATAAACAAAGACACAACAATACTAAGGACATGCGATGTATTCAATGCTGGGATCTGGTCCTTTGTTATGTTGTTGTTTTGTTCTTCAATTCCTTTGAGGGAATAAAGGCAGCTACACACTTGAGAGTAAATATGTTTTAAGGTTTGCAAGTGTGTGTAATCCCTTGCCTCATGTTGGTAATATATAAGTGAGGTCATCAAAGATGATGCAAGGGAGTGTCTGGTACATAACATGCTTCAACAGTGCACTAGACACGTAGCTTTAACAGTTGTAAGACTTGACTTATAATTTGACCGGAGGAGCTGATTTCTATCAGTTCCCTTAACTGATTTCATTAGAACTTGTGCCAGACATTTGACTTGTTGTTCTGAGCGCGGAGAGGCTAGTGCTATCAGTTTACCTATCTGGTTCTCACGTGAAGTTTGTTAAATCATCAAAACAAAAAGATACATAACTTATCAATTTCTCCCTTTTTGATGATGACAAACTTAGAATTGATATTCTCCCTGAGAACCAGATCTCCATATTGCCCCCTGTAGAATAGCCATATTCTCCCTGAAAACATGTTTTTTCCCTCAATTTTCTTCCCCCTTTTGGCATCATAAAAAGAATTATATAAGTAAACACAAAAAGAAGTCCAACAAAGTTAACTCATGCCACTTGTGCACACATCATAGCTAAAAACAGGATACTAAAGTATAACATGCATTAGAAAAAGGACTAAGATGCTCATTAAATTAATAAGAAGAAAAACAATTCACAGTACCATCATTACAAAACATTCACAAAATAAACATTACTAGAGTATCAAAACCATAGGGAACAGAGAACAAAAAAAACATTGTAAACTTTGGCAGGGACTGACAAATGGGACACTGATAAGGGGACAATTTAGGGGGCACTGGAAAAGGAAGCGAAGGACGAAAGAGCAAAAGCCTTGAGGAGACCATCCACACGAGCATTAGCAACCCTATTTTCATTGATCAACTGCTCTTTTAGGTTCTCCACCTGTTGCCTCAGCTCTGTATTCTCAGTCGTCAAGCGAGCAACTTCTGCACCCTAAGCACTATTAGAACCAGGTTCTGTGTTGGCTTGATTGAGCTTATTCTCAAGAATGGTATTCTAGGCCTTCAGCCTTCTGATCTCCTCATTAGCAACACTCTGAGCATCGATTAGTTGAGAGATTGTAGAACTGCTGCCAACTCCCCCCTTTTTATCAATACACTCGCATTTCTCTAAGATGTTCATTGAGAATATTTGCTTACAAGTTCCCACAACTGCTCTCCTCAAAGAGACTTTAAAACGTTTAAAGACTTTTGTGTGCAGGAACCTATATGAAAACCCATGGTTTCCATCCTTGAATTTTGCCACCTTCTTCATGCGTTCAATTAGAATCCCAAGCATATTGATGGCAGTGTACCCGTCCAATGCCTCCAAAAGAATCAGGTCCACTATAGATGCAATGGATCGTCTTTCAGCTCGTGGTAGGGGGATCTTGTTCACCAACTCGAACAAGAGTTGGTATTTTGGAAGCAGTGCCTTCTTGCGCACTCGTTCCCCTTGCTGAATTGAGGCTTTAGAATAAGCTTCCTAAAATTTGGGGAACAAGTCCCATCAATAGTTGAGATCCCCTCAGGAGGTACCTCAAAAATATCCCCGAGCACAACCTCATCAATCACAAAGTCCACCCCATTGACCTTCAAGTAGATGGTGTCACCTTCCACAGTGAACAGATCAGCATAGAAACTGCGAACTTCCTCCTCATAAACTTTTGGACTCTGAACAGTAAATAGATGAGTCCACTTTTGGAATTCGCAGATTTCAACCAACTGCCTCATGCCTGACTTGTCAAGAATGTCAGTATCAAAGACTCTCTCCCACAGGACGTTTTTGTTTCTTCATCTTTGCTTTCCTTTCATTCTCAGACACATCAACTCCAGCCCTCTTTGAAAAACCAGGTTCCTCACTGCCGCTTGGCTTTCTCTTGAGAGCCATATTTTTTTCCAACACCCTTCTCCTTCTCAATAGACTTCTCCTTCTCACTAGACTCCTTCTTCTCAACACTTTCTTCACCACCAGTTTCAACAACCTTTATAGATGATACCTTCTTCCGTTTCACAGACAAAGTCTTCTTAGAGGATTTACGGACAAGGGAAGCAAGTTCCTCATTCACCTCTTCATTCTCAACTTCCACAACAATTGCCGGACGCGGATCCTCCTCATCAATTGATCTACTTTTCACCAGTCTTCTTCTCTTCTTTTTCTCCTTATTTTCCTTTAAAGCATTGTCAAGGGCAACCTTTTTTAGAGCCTAGTGGTGGGTATTTTAAGAATAGACTTTTGAGTAGCTGTCCTACAACTCCTAGTAGTGATAAACTGGGCTATAGACATATTGTCATAGTCCTCCACACTTCATCTCCTTCTTCTATTTCAGGATACACAATGTCTAAATGGGTTGCATCAAGGTGAGGGGAAGGGGTAGGGTCAGTATTGTCCAAAGGCTATTTAGTAGAGCATGGAGTTTCATCCCAAGTAGGAGCAGAGAACTCCTCTTGGGTAGAGAGAACATGTCCCTCTGTTGGCTCCTATGTAGTACTAACTGGTTTCGTGTCACCTTGAGGCACCAGGTCTCCATTCCAGTCCTCATTCCCTCGTTCTTCCCCCTGAACCCTAACATTCACACAACCAGACACATAACCCCCAATCGGACTCCCTTCAACAACAATAGACAAAATATTTTCAACATCTTCTTTTTTACCCCCATTTTCCAACAATGCGGAATCAGTAAGAGCTAATGGAGCATTACTTGACGATGACAGAACATTTAAATCAAATCCTTGAACTGTAGAGGTGTCAGATACACTATATGCTGACACATGTCCACCCAGACTAGTGATAGCCACTTTGTCCACACTTTCTTTCTCAACGGGTTGACTAGAAACCATTGCACCTTCTTCTCCTTACACCAGTCCCTCTACTTCCATTTTCTCTTTGGTAGCAGAAAGAGAGGTCGAAGCAACAAACTTCTTAGGAGTTTGATTTTCCTGGCTGCGATGGGAACCAAAACTTGTTGAGTGGGGGAGGAGATGGTAGGTGGTTGTTGGTTAGAAATAAGGGTTTCAGCAGGTGAAAGTTGGGGCTCCTATCCTGATGGCTATACTTCTTGGGATGAGACACATCAGGGATTTCAGTGGTGGCCATTGGTGACTCAGATTGCTGTGAAGACATGGTGAGTTTTTGAGAGTGAAGACACAAAAGAGAGGGTTTTCATAAAGAGAGGGAGAGTTTGATGGCTTTGATATAGACAGTTATGTGGGAGACTTGTCATTTAGGGGTATTTAGAGGGGAAAGAGGAACGGGTTACAAAATGGACGTGATTGAGCGGGTAGATGGTTCAGTTTGTAATGGGTATGACGTTTGGGTTTAAGAGATATGGGAAAGGGCTGAAATAATTAATGATGTGGCACACTAGCAGTTCAAAATACGTATGAGTGTAAGAGGAACTACTAAACTGAGTCATGGGAACCAGGTTCCCTGACTAATTTTGGAAACATGAGCATCATCATTCTAACAAATTGTAATGTTATTAGCTGTTTTTTTGTCCTATAGTTGCCATGCGTGTTTACCTTGCAACTCTATATAATTGAGTTAGAAGTTGCCAGAAAACACTTTTTAGCAATTCGCCTTACCATCCTTTCATAGCCAATCATCGAGGGACCAAGTTCTTAGTTCAACTTGATCAAATCCAACTCCAGTCTATTCTTTTCAAAATGCTCTCTGCTTAGTGCTTTGGTGAAGATATCGGCTACCTGATCCTCTGTCTTATAGAACTTCATACAAATGAGTCCCTTTTCAACATTGTCCCTTAGGAAATGGTGTCGCACATTAATGTGCTTTGTCCTCTTATATTGAACTAGGTTCTTTGCCATATTGAGGGCACTTATGTTGTCACACAGCAGTGGCACACAGTGAGAAAATACACCAAAATCTTCTAATTATTGCTTGACCCACAGTAGTTGAGCACAACATGAGGCAACTGCCACATATTTAGCTTCTGCAGTTGAGAGAACCATATAATTTTGTTTCTTTGTACCCCATAAAATCAAGC